AATTTGGCAACACCGGATTTCCTCCATTGAAACCTATGCTAAGTAATCGATTCTTGTGGAAGCACGACCCTGGTAAAAATTGGCGATAGGAGCTACGTTTCAAAACACCATAGAAGCTCTTATAGCCGCGACTGAAGAAGGTGATAGAAAATCATATAGCTGGCTGTAGAAAGTGGAAAAAATCATACGGCCTGGCTACACGAAGCGATAAAAAAGTATACAGCCGGGCTGTAGTTCCTATCGCCGGGCTTTACACTTTATCGCCTATCTGCTGCTTTTTCGCCATCAGCTATCAAAAGCTATAAGAAATTGTGTAAAAATTCGTGTGCTTTGTAAATCCTTAAGTTTGTAAGGAATCACCTTAATATTTACAAAATGCACATTATATTTTCCTTTACTACATATTTTTTTTCATCAATTAAAATGAGAATAACCCATACAGAGTGTGCAAACATTTTAAAGTCATGAGTTGAAAAACGCTGACTCCACGAGATTAAATATGAGAGCCTAACACAAAGCGGAGCGGCGGCGCACTGGCGCCTACAAACCTAACAGGGATACTTCACGCATTGCGCAATGCGTAGTATCCCTGTTAGGTTTGAAGGCGCCAATGCGCGGTTCGCGCTGGCTGCCCGCCCGCCGCGCCGCAGCGTACCACGGCGCTTGAAGCAACTATTTCACACCAGCGGTATTGCACAGTATCATACGAAATTGCAGGCGCTCCAACATGTTTATTAGGAATGGCAGGCATCCTTCAAAAGTACGGAGCTTTTCTCGCATAATAAATCAAGATACTACGGCCCAAAAAGAGAGCAGTATTCCAAAAACTCACTAAGTCCTAGCATCCGTAATTAGTGACGTTTAGCATACACTTTATCGCCAGGCTGTTGCTTACTCGCCATCGGCTATGAAAGGCTATAAGAAATTGTGTTGCCGGCTATAGAAGCTATTGGAAATCTTACAGCCGGCTGTAGGTCTATGGTATTTTGGAACACAAATTCTACTGCCAATTTTTACCAGGGAACCTGGCTTCTCCAAGAATCGATACATTTCCATAAGTTTAAATGGAGCAGAGGCAATGTTGCCAATTTGCTGGATCCGCAAATGTACTAGTCCCAATTCTGTCACTTTTTTTCTACTTGGGTTTGGGTGTGAGGTGTAAATGTGTATTTCGCCACTTGCCATACCTCTTCCTCATTTTCCTCTATGACCCAGTGTGAGTACCTGAGTATGATTAAAGAGGATTGGCTATTTAAGATGGTTTATTCGGAGGAGCTCGGTTGACAATGGACATGACCGATCGATTTGAAGGCGCGACCTTTAACTCTGGAGTTAATTTCCAGAAAATGTTCTTAGGGGGCTTCCTTTTCATACAGGGTTTCCTGAGATCGGGTACTTCAAGTCCCCATTCAATTCATGATGACTGTGCAGTTAGCTTATAAAATAGTATTTACCCGTAAAAGGGGAGAGTGAATGGATCCATGAGAAATTCAATTTATTGAGTTTAACTTGTGTTGTTTTTACCTCTTTTTTCTTATAACTTACTTACTTACGGTAATTTTTGTCTTAGAAAAAGATGAATGAAAAAAAAGCTAGCCCGAAAATAAAAAATACAAGATACTGTGTTGATCTAAATCTTTCCTCAGTGATTTTACTTTCATTTTCCTGCTGAACTGATGGGAGATGAATTTCTCGTCAACTTCTTGATGATGCTCAATAAAGAGAGAAATTGTTGCCCCAAATTTCCGTAAAATAATATGCGTTATTTTCTGATATGATGTACATCAGTACATCAGATCAGATAAAAGTAGAAGTAAAATCAGTGAAATTTAAGTACTTACCTATCATGCCCTCGCAGTAGTTTCGTCACTTTTTTCCAGCCCCGGAAATAAGGAGCACATTTACTTAGAGCTAGAGCTCCCTCCGCCTCTCACTTTGGCGAGTGCGCCTTCAATAACTGTGACGGCAAAATACGCTGCTTTGGAGTACTAAATACTTGCGCGCGGTAGTTTTGTTACTTCCGCTCTGTCTCAGCAAGGAAAGGCCCATCGAGAATCTGTCATTTTCGTTCTCACTTGACCTCTACCTATGTATCGTCATCTCGCATAGGTACCACTTCCAAAAATCGTGAAAATGGGCGTTTTATCTTTAACTTTTTTGTTATGGATTGCATTAAATGAAAACAACCCCAGTTACTTTAGACTATTTTTCAAGGTGCTATTGTCAACCCTTGAGTGAAAGTTTTCCAGTCGCACACCTTTTGCTCAGAGGTCGGCTGAAAGCCTAGGGCCTACGGCCCGTCAATAATGTGCCCATTTTTTGGGAAACATGAGGATTTTCTTCAAATTGATCCCAAGCGAAACCTAATGATGAAGCATCCTCTGATGAAAGATTTGGCAGAGTTCAAAGCGGTAATACAGCAATACAGCGCTGCAAAGTTTGCTTTACTTACTTTTAAAATGGATATTCTTTTGAAGTTCCTAATCGTTCAATTAAGCAAACAAATTTAATCAAAGTTTTTTTTTTTTTATTATTTTTTTAACTTCCTGGAGCACAATCTCATCCGATGGTGTTACTCAGGTACCCTGTGCTCCGAAATACTATAGACCGACAGCCAGCTGTAAGATTTCCTACGACTTCTATAGCTGGCTACACAAATTTGTATAGGTAGCCTATTAATGATGATAAAGCTACAGCCAGGCAATAAACTGCAGAGCCTGGCGACAGGAACTATAGCCTGGCTGTATAATTTTTTATAGCTTTGTATAGCGCTGGCTGTGTGATTTTCTTCGCTATCTACAGCCAGCTATATTATTTTCCATTGCCTTCTACAGCCGGCTATAAGAATTCCCATGGTATTTTGAAACGCAGCTCTTATTGCCAATTTTTACCAATGTATTAAGATGATACTGCATTTTGAAGTTTATTCCATGTGTCCCAAACCACCCACTTAAGCCAGGCTTGGCTGCCAAAGCAAGTTTACTGCTGCGGAAAAACGTTGTATGTAGATCCAGACATTCCTAGATTTCTTCTGATTAAATAGTATTTTTGAAGAAAGTTTTGAATATATTTTCTTCAAATTTTCAGAATCATAAGATTTAGATTAATATTAGAATCATTAATATTAAATTGCACAGAGAATTCTTTAAAAATTTAAAGATAAGAGCACGCGAGTTTTCCTGAATTTGTATTTAATCGGAGGAAAGGCAAGTCTTGAGTGCTCGTATGACGTAGTTACAGAGCGCTGGAGTATCAATGTCCGAGCAGAGGACAATGGTATTGGTAATAACGCCTTGATGCATCTATACGTGCTCTATATCCATATTGCATAATAAAAATTGAAGACGCTCCGGTCATTCTAGCCCATGAAGCAGAGCTCATAGTGACACGCTGTCAGTTAAAATTATGCGTGATGGTGAAATATGATATCTTAATTCGTGAAAATAGTGCAAAAATATCCTTGTCTATCCTTTACCCTTAGTTTTCATCTTGCCGCTTAGGTATCTGTCTGGGCAAGATGCGCCACACACTGCTGCGTGCACTGCTTCATGGCGAAGCAATAAAATAATAAAACCATTTTCCAGTTTTTCATATGCAACACGCGGGTTCAATGAGTATGATTAGTTGTATAATAGCATAAACATCAAAATAATAGAATATGTTGCTTATCTGAATTGAGATGCATGAGAAGCCCGGCAATGTCTTATTCTACCCAAATGCCATTTAAAAAAATGAATTAAAGGATGAACTAATATTTTAAAGTTGTTCAGGTGAACAAACAACGATCTTTCTTCATTTTAAGGGGCCCAATTTTGTTGCGGAAGCGTACAGTTATATTGTACGCGGACAGTAATGTGAAGGCTGCCTTAAAAATAAGAAGGTATAAGACTTTCTACACCCCTGATTGTAAGTATATCCTTAACTTCATCTCACCTGTCACTATCTCTTCAAAATTCTTTCCTTAGTATATTTGATAAATGAATGCGCGAGGAAAAATAAAAAAAAGAAATCTTTTAACTTTCAACAAAGCTGTATTGTTTCACTGTACATCATTTTTTATATTCCAGACATGGGACTATGAACTTAAATGCTACATAATAATTTCAACAATTAAATAAAACATAAGAAGGCGGATGAGGGAGAAACCTTTACTGTTGAATCCATTGGGATGAAAATAGACCTAAATTCTGAAAAAAAGAAAGAAAGAAAGTAGGTATCATGAATCTCGGAATTACAACACCAAAGAGGTTTTAACAAAAGCAGTGTGGCAAAGCAGACAACAAACAACCAGGCAACTATCTCATTCTCGTACTGAAAATGAATCTTAGGTACGGAAAAAAAGAAAACAACCACTTTTAAAACTATCACAGGGTCCATCCATACATGACATGAGGCACTCTAAGAAGACGGATGTTTGAGCCTGACATGTAGAATTCACTGAAAAAAAGCCTGTGACTTGACATTTAAAAAGTAGATAGGAAGAGAGAATGGAAATTAAAAGTAAAACTTAAACTTCTCTATAGCTTTTGGTGCAAAAACTGTGGAAGGACACTTGACACATCTGGAAGGAGGGGGGGGGGGGGGCAGAAACAATTGATAATTGCCGCAGTCATACATAGAAGGACTGATCAAAGGTTTACAATTTTTTCATTTTCTCTTTTAACTCTTCATTGAGAAATTGAAAATTATACCTAGTGAAGGTATTTGAATTTTCATTCCAACTCAATTTCATACCAAGAAGAGGAAGAGAAGAAAATACCCTCAAAGATTAAAAACCTTTCATAATTTCAACAATACTTTATTGGAATGATGAGGTAGGATGAAGAAGAGAGATTATCCATTATCATTCCTGGAATATTTTGACTTTCTCCTTCAACAGTTTCTTAGCATTTCTGGAATTTCAATTCCCGACAGCCTTCTTCCGGCAAGTAACTGTACTACATCAAAACTGTCACCGAGTTTATCTTTGCTTTCTCTGTGAAAAATACATTTTTCTCACAGTGGATGTGCAGGCCACTAAAACTACACCAAAATAACTAAACCTGTACATTTAAACTAAAAACATGCACCAAGACCTTGTTCCTAGGGGCAAAACGTACTCAATAAAATGGTGCGGAGCACTATTTTCATTTTTAACCTCCTTCTCGTTTAGTCCACTATATTAGATTACCTACCTTCATGTTGAAGATATGCGCAAAGATTTAGTCCTCCTTATTCAATGGAGGCCAGTTTCGGTACTTAGTATTATACAAAGGTACATACTGCAACACTGTCCTGAACTCAGTGAAATAGAAAAGGGTCAATGTTCCAGCAACGCCCCACAGCCCTGCTGAGGTTACCCTGCAACAAAGATTGCGAACCATTAAAAATGGCATGAGAAGACTGAATAAAAGATTCCTTAATAGGTACACATATTTTGAGTCTTTTGAATGAACATTATAAATTAAGGGCTTACATTTTTATAAAGAGGCAAGTGACAAATTTAATTGCATTCAAGTATCTCCTGTTGGTAAGACAGGGATTGAACATTTCCTCGCCTTCATAAGCCCTCATAAAGCTCTCTGGTTTGGGGCTAATGGTACATCCTCCGGGGCGAGAAAGTTTTACTTCAAAAATATTGATTATCAATAAACTGAACCAGCTGAAGAAAGAGACCATTGTTAGAGCAATAATTTTCTTGTTCCTAAACCATGTATCTCAGTTAGCAATGGTGCAGATTTCCAGTCCAAATTTTTTTTTTGGTACAAAACTATTCAACATCATTCTTTAAAAACCTTCAGGATATTTTTCTTCCGTAGGTGAGGGGAAAAGTTTCTGAAAAGCTCAAGAATTAATATTACCTTATTCCTCATAAACAAAATTGAAAAAGAAAGATTTTGAAACATTGTAATCAACAAGTGTGGTTCAGGTATTTAATCTTCGTTGAGATCAATGGTGGAAACTGATGGGAAAACTGACATGGCTTAATCAATGACGAAGCCAACTACACACATACAAGCCACTTTCACAGCACTCTAGAGCTCTGCGGCGCCTAACCACCACAGTGCCCAGAGAAACCAACTAAAATGTGGACTACCTGATGGTGCTGCAAAGGTATATTGATGTTGAAACTCCCAAATCATGCATCTGTTTCACAGTGTTTAAAACTTTCCACTCCTATTTCATATATTTCAGGGGAAAAAATTAACATTGCTACCAGAAATTTTTCAGAAATTGCTTTGCGCAGAGAAGAAAAATGGCAGAACTTTTTAAAAGATGACTTTTGTATATTTCCACTTGAAAAAATTAAGTATGACACGAATCTGGCAACGTTACAATTCAAAGGACATAGTTCCAGAGTTTCTTCATTGACATGCGATAAGGATATTAACAAGAGGCTCCTGCCTATGCTAGTATTTCAGCATAATTTCTCTCACGAAGACTAGAATTTTGTTAATAAAATATTTTTCCACATTGTTGAATGATTCGGAGGTCCCAGGATATTCACACCATTGATTCAACAATGCTACCTCATTCAAAAGGTGTTTTCAATTTAGATTGGTGTACAGGAGGTACAAAGACTATCAAATAGTTATTTATCTTGGGTGACATTTATTGTAACCATGCCAATATGAGACTTCTTATCTAATCATTGCATTGTTACAAAAAAATTGAAAATTTTCCCATTTCAATAAAATACAGAGCTATTGTTTGAGGCTTTCCTCCATCATTGGCTAATCACTTTAGAGCAAAAGCTCATTCTCTGCTGGAGTTGGATGCGGTATTAAATAAGAAGTCACGCTGAAATAGAGATTATCAGAAGTAATGCCAGAATTGAACCAAGTAATTAGTTTTCTTCACGCAATAAATCCTCCTCATACCTGAGACTCTCTCTTCATGCACTTTTATCAAGGCCTTCCACTTAATCAATAGATAATACCCCATCGGGAATTAAAAATGAAAAAGATGAAAAAATATACCAAAACACGCATATTGTTGAGTAAGATTTAATGGCTTGGATCTATTTCGGGCTTACCCCATCTTCAGCAAGCACTTAAAACAACACAGAAACAAGTTTATTACAGTCAAGAATTGTCACAAAAGATGGGCTAAGCCTGAAATGCATCCAAGCCATTAAACCTTATTCAACAATATGCGTGTTTCGGTATATTTTATCATCTGTCATAACGGCATGCGAGATGCGTTTTTCCAGTTAATTAAAAATTTATAAGGTAGGTCTTCCATAGTCCTGACATCATATTAGCCTAGGTGCACTTCAGAGGAAAGTAATTTCTTTTCAAAACATCTTGTGATATCACAGGGTGCAATGAAGGTACCACTTCTAGAGAGGGTTTAGAGCTCCATGAAGTGACTAGGGAACTACAAAAATTTACAGCTAGAAACAGAGGGAGAGATGTTTGCAGTGTCTAATGCCACTTTTTCATGTAAAAGGCAATTTATGAGAACGTAGAATTTTTCAAGAATGACTCGTGTACTTCAAGGGAGCTGGCCCTCGATAATGGCCGGAACCACCAAAAGTCAGGAGTGTGAAACATCTCTGATAACTTTTACTTGACCTTATAATGTATAAAACCATTAAACTGTTATCATCTGAGAGGCTACTTTCAATGTAAGTTCAAATGCAGCGTAATTTAGTAAATATACTATAGTTTACTTATGCCCTGAGATTCAACGGAGAAGAGCTGACTATGACCTTACTAAGGTTAATCCTGAAATAAAACACTAAGTAACTTCAATGAATTAATGAAACTTACCATGCCTTTGCAAGTTGGAATTGTTTCGGTCCAATCACCATTTTCGCGGAGTGTGGTGGAATACAATGAAATCGAAAAGGAAAATTGGAGTTTTTTCCAGCTGACTTCTTCTGTTGACTTTTTTGATAACCTCAAAAATATTGATTGATCAGTCGAGCCAGAGTCGAGCTCAGTGCTGCTGTCGTGGCTAACACGCTAAACTTGTCGCGGGACTTTTTAAAATGACGCGGGATTTTTTGAAATGACGCTCCGTCCACAGTCGTGCGCTATCAAGCCGTCAACATTGTATTTATCCTTCTTTCCCAATTTTTTGTGCTTTTACATTTTTATATATATCAGGTGGCTTAATATAATATTATTTGGTTTTTCGGGGCCATGATACGTGGCCCGAAAGAAATTAATCCACAAATGCGAAAAGCACCTTAACTAAATGAATTTTATGCGGTCAACCTCTGCCCTTTACGTTCATATTCTACTATACCAAAATCATCCACTATGCAAGGATCATCTTATTTTTAAACAGGTCCTTTGCCTAGAGATCTAAAGTCGTATAAACCAGTGGAGCCGTTATACCTACTGAAGTCAAAAGAGCTTCATACAGGAGAAGGTACTGCGGACCCATTCCAATGAACACTCATATACTTAAACGCTTTCGGATGCTTGGTTGCGTGCCATCACAAGGGATGCTGGGAAGGGCACACAATGGCTTCCTGGAGGGTAGGGCTCCATGGATATCAGGTGGGGCACCCCCGGGGGGTTGGGCTTCTTCGATGTCAGTATGGAATGAATTCCGGGAAAAAAAGAATATTTTTAAGGGATGCCTCAATCGGGGAGGGGGGGGGG